AACTTTTCAAAGTCATTTTTGGGACATTTCACCTTGACTTACGACCTTGACCCCGTAACCATTTTCGAAGGCTATCACCTTGGCTTGAACCATCGACGTTTACTTTGGTCCTGTCGCAAACTGTTCGGTCAGAAAAGGGTCAAACGCAAGGGGCCCCGTGTCCGAAAGGAAGTCAATGGGCGTGGTCAATGTGAAAGGTCGTGGTGACCTCCACTAGTCACCTTTAATCATCCGTGACTTTGACTTTGACCGTGAGTCCAAACTTCCCATCCATCTCGGGCCCTTTGCGTGTATGCTTGCCGTTGCCTTATTTCTAACTGTATTATCAAAGTTAATGTTCGAGGTGAAAGCAGAGACGATGTCGTCCAGAAAAGATAATTGGGTCAAAGTCGTAGGTCAAGGTCATCTTACAGAAAACTAAACTCAAACTTTTCAAAGTATTGGGACATTTGACCTTAACTTACGACCTTGACCCCGTAACCATTTTCGAAGGCTATCACCTTGGCTTGAACCATCAAAGTTTACTTTGGTCCTGTCGCAAACTGTTCGGTCAGAAAAGGGTCAAACGCAAAGGGCCCGTGTCCGAAAGGAAGTCAATGGCCGTGGTCAATGTGAAAGGTCGTGGTGACCTCCACTAGTCACCTTTAACCATCCGTGATTTTGACGTTGACCTTGAGTCCAAACTTCCCATCCATCTCGGGCCCTTTGCGTGTATGCTTTCCGTGGCCTTATTTCTAACTGTATTATCAAAGTTAATGTTCGAGGTGAAAGCAGAGACAATGTCCTCCAGAAAAGATAAGTGGGTCAAAGTCGTTGGTCAAGGTCATCTTACAGAAAACTAAACTCAAACTTTTCAAAGTCATTTTTGGTACATTTGACCTTGACTTACGACCTTGACCCCATAACCATTTTCAAAGGCTATCGCCTTGGCTTGAACCATCAACGTTTACTTTGGTCCTGTCGCAAACTGCTCGGTCAGAAAAGGGTCATATTTGTAGATAAATTATTAAAATTTGGTTTATATAAATAAGCCTCTAGTATATACCAAAAACCTACAATACTTTGGATGTGTAAAGAAATATTTTTTTTTATATTCTGATGTTTTCCTCTCTAATAGGTTATAGTATATTATTTCATGTTGATCTTCATTAGCCCAGGGCGTTAAACATCATTTCATGTTGAATACGTTTGGTGGTAAATGGTTTACTACAAACACTACAAGATATTCTCTAGTATGAATTCTTTAATGTTTATTCAGATTACTTCCATTATTAAAAGATTTACTACAAACATCACATGTGTTCTTGTATGTTTTTTTCTGCAGTGTGTGATTTCATGTGTCGATGTAGACCACTACTTTGTGTAAATGATTTACTACAAACATCACAAGAAAAGGGTTTTTCTCCAGAATGACTTCTGGTGTGTTCATGTAGATGATTACTACGAGCAAATGATTTTCTACAAACTTCACAAGAAAAGGGTTTTTCACCAGTGTGAGTTCTGGTGTGTACATGTAGATTACTACTATTGATGAAAGATTTACTACAAACATCACAAGAAAAGGGTTTTTCGCCAGTATGGGTTCTGGTGTGTAAATGTAGATGACTTCTACGGGCAAATGATTTTCTACAAACATCACATTTATATGGCCTCTCTCCCGTATGAATCATAATGTGTCTACTTAAATTAGTAGAGGTTCCTAGTGATTTACCACAAATATCACAGTTATAGTTCTTTTTTGAGACACAGTGCTTTGACATTTTCTAAATCTTCACCCTGTAAATACACAAAACAAAATGATAATTAGGAGATAAACACCGACTGTTTAGAATTTAGAGATCTGATATTGTCCATTTGATACCGCTTTAAATCATAGATGATGGTCGTTTCTTGATATTTATGATGTATTATTATTACAGAGGTTTTCATTAGGTCAAAAGTATATTCTTTGGCTTTTACATCATTGTTGACAGTCGTTTTGGGGTGTTTAATGATGTAATGCAATCACTAGGTTCGCCGATAATGCGGTGAACCACTGGCATAATTTCATCGTCGCGAGTCATGTCACAGATACGCTAGTGCAATTTGCGTATTGGCTTTTCTTCCTCGTCGGATTGTCCATTGGTATGAAACTGCGGTTTCAAAGACTAGCTTTTCACCTCTTTTTCGAATTTTTACTCTAGCTGCTCCGAGTGCGGAGAAAACTAAAAGTCAAAATGAAAGTAGAAAACAACTTGATTTTTGGGACGGGTACCAGGATAGCATAGGGTTAATAATATATTGATTTGAAAATACATATATTCAACTTTAATTCTGTGAGTTTTCAATGAAATCGGTAGGTGCAGAGTCAAAATATGAAGTGTGGAAAATTTTTGAACCAGTTTCGAAGTGACTGCCATGTAAGAAATTGGAATTTTACCGCTCGCAACCGCGCAGAATGACCTCACTTTACATTCATTGTTCTTCAGACAAAAGGGGCGTTAATTAAATTAGCAACAATTAATATAGGGCCTTTCAAGCTCATTTTGGTGTCATTGTAAAGCTGTTGGACAGCCCTATCCAGACATAACAGAATTAATAATTAATGCCATACGGGATAGTTGAATTTTTTGTTGTCCTCCCTACAATCACTAAAGATTATAATAAAAAGGCCTATCTATATTTAGATATTCTGATATTCCGAACCTGAATAAAGTTGTACATTAAGTGGCATAAATAATCATCCATAAAACATATAAAATATATTGGGGTTTAATGTCCTACTACTGTGTGGTCTACAATATGGCGGGCTTGGTGGCCAATTCATTTCCGGTGAGTGTAACTAGGTCGTGCAGTTAAATCATTACCTTGTAGTAACTAAAATTATTTGTTATGCTTCTTCATATTTAATTGAACACTAAATAACAGATATTAATCATCTACAATGAATTTATATATCGGTACGTTATATCAAATTAATAATTACGTCTTATTTGCTCGAGTCAGATATCCGCCATTTTATAAACATTTGGAAGTTCTAAATTTGACGTGGACCCTCTCCTACCCGAGTAACTCATAATTCAAGATTACCAACCATTATAGTTTGAGTGAGTGTACATTATACACTATAAAGGATAAATACAGTCTGTAATTTATATCATAAGAATGATCCAGGAGATCAATTTTGCAGCTTATGACCCACACATATAAAATCATCTCCTAGCATTCATCTCAAACAAACTGCATGCTGAACTCCGTCACAATAATGGCAACTTAAACATACTGCTAAGTATAAAGTGTAAATATTGAAATTGTATTTTGTAGTATTTTGTATTGAGAAGAAGGCGATTTACTAAGAGGTTTTGACATCAATGTATATGTGTATTTGACATCAATCTTATTGGAATAAATATTGTTAAAGATAGTTCAGTAGAATGCTTAGTGAATTCAGGACCGTATCTTATAAAACACGATGTCGTCTCTTATAGATTATATCTTGTCTCTGATTTCTTGTTGAGGGGGCGGGGGGCGGACTTCATTATTTTATTTTTTTAATATCATCTGCAATCTGACACAGATTCTATTTCGTTTTGTTTTTAAGAGATCTAAATTTCATCTTACTGGTCTTTTACACTAGGATCTGGAAGAGTTGTTATATAACCCGCTTGTATGACCCCTAGCGCGATCTCCCACTACAACTGGCCAGATCATCATGTAGTGTAAGCCATTGACAGTATAAAAGAATGAAACGAAATATTGATTAGTATTTTATTCAGATTGTGTCATCGGCTTTATATAAACAATTGTTTCTTTAAAAGAGCTAAATCACTAATATTTGGGACCTAGAAATGGACACAAATGGGTAGCAACGCATATAATAATGTTATATGAATGTATATAAACTGATTTACATTCAATCGTCTCTCTTTTTCCGGTCATATGCCAGATGTCTCAATCGAATGGCAGTCCCTAGCGTCTGGTTATTTGGGACCTAGAAATGGACACAAATGGGTAGCAACGCATATAATAATACTATATGAATGTATATAATCTGATTTACATTCAATCGTTTCTGTTTTTACTGTAATTTCTAATCAGTTATGTTCGGCGAAATACACCAGAAGTTTCAATCGAATGGCAATCTCTTAAGTCTGGTTATTCCAGTCTACACCGATAGTATTTATTGCGCATGCTCTGCAGATAAGAATATGACATCGCCATTTGACATGACCTGTGGAATATGTCTAGCCTCGCTCTTCGAGTCCCTTGTTACAAATGGCACTGAAACTCATTACGGTACATGATTTGTTGATCAGTTTTATTGTAAGATGAATTTATATTGTTTAAAGGTAAATAAAAAGATCAATAACGAAATCTGTCATCGCTAAATATAAGGTCTAGTTATGACTAGAAGCTCTTCATGGTCAGGCCTTTCATCCTACAACCTTGTTAGGCCTTCCACCCTACAACCTTGTCAGGCCGTCTATTCCACAACCTTGTCCGGCCGTCGATCCCACAACCATGACCTTGTCAGACCTTCCATCCTACAACCTTGTCAGAGGGAAACCATGCTGGAAAATACTGAGGAACCATCTTGTCCGAGGTGTACCCCAATTTTACAAGATATGACAGAGAACAAGCTACAAAAAGGGTGATTTTTCTTACAATCAGGGGCCATAATCCAGGATGTTGCGATCCGATATGTATCAATATCGAAAGGAACTGAGATCTTTGGGATATAAGATAGATATTTTAAGACAGGTTTAGGGATAACAATATAGACCTTAGAGATATAAGATACATATTTTAAGACAGGTTTAGGGTTAACAATATAGACCTCTAGAGGATGACAAAACACATCCATTTGAAAATCTGAGCATATAAAAATTGATAGAGCAATGGGGTGATGGGTTTAATGTTATCTGTAGGTCTACGTCGTTTCAAATAGCTGACTAGGTTGATAAATGAAACTATCCTTTATTTTTCATTCATAACAAACTAATTAAACTCCTTTTGTACAGATTTTATTTTTCTTGTTCAATTGAAGAACCATATTTGAAGATAAATTTAATTGTTATTGGTGCTAAAATAATTCATATCTAAATCTATTTTATGGAAATAACCCTAGACAACAAAAACTTACAATACTTTGGATGTGTAAATAAATAACTTTCTTAATATTCTGAAGAATTTTCACCTGTTTATAAAAATTTATGTTGGCTGTAAATCATTTATAACAACTATCAAAAGAAAATAGTTTTCCTCTCTAATGTTATATAGTACATTATTTCATGTTGATCATCATTATCCCAGTCGGTGCAGAATAGTAGGACGTTAAACACCATTTCATCAACAGTTTTTATGTTGCTGTAGATGACTACAAGATGTAAAAGTTTTTTTCACCAGTATCTCAATCTCTTGTATGAATTCTTATATGTTTATTTAGACTACTTTTGCTTTTAAATAATTTGTCACAAACATCACAAGAAAAGGGTTTTCCTCCAGTATGAATTCTAGTGTGTATAAGTAGATTACTACTAGTGGTAAATGATTTCCTACAAACATCACAAGAAAAGGGTTTTCTTCCAGTATGAATTCTAGTGTGTATATGTAGATAACTTCTAGTGGTAAATGATTTCCTACAAACATCACAAGAAAACGTTTGTTTTACCAGTATGTGTTTTTGTGTGTTGTTGTAGATTGCTATTTCGTGTAAATGATTTATTACAAACATCACATGAAAAGGGTTTATCACCAGTATGAATTCTGATGTGTTGTCGTAGAAGACTACTGTTGGAAAATGATTTGCTGCAAATATCACAAAAAAAAGGTTTAACACCAGTATGAATTCTGGTGTGTCGCTGTAGATCACGACTAGTGGTAAATGATTTTTTACAAGCGTCACAAGAAAAGGGTTTTTCTCCTGTATGGATTCTGATGTGTTGTTGAAGATTACCGCTAGTGATAAATGATTTATTACAAACATCACAAGAAAAGGGTTTTTCACCAGTATGAATTCTGATGTGGTGTTGTAGATTACTGCTAGTGGTAAATGATTTATCACAAACATCACACGAAAAAGGTTTTTCACCAGTATGAATTCTGGTGTGTCGCTGTAGATGACTACTAGTGGTAAATGATTTACTACAAACATCACAAGAAAAGGGTTTTTCACCAGTATGGGTTCTGGTGTGTTGCTGTAGATGACTACTAGTGGTAAATGATTTTTTACAAACATCACAACAAAAGGGTTTGTCACCGGTATGGGTTCTGGTGTGTTGCTGTAGATTACTACTAGTGGTAAATGATTTACAGCACACATAACAAGAAAAGGGTTTTTCACCAGTATGAATTCTGGTGTGTTGCTGTAGAATACTACTAGTGATAAATGATTTACAGCACACATAACAACAAAAGGGTTTGTCACCGGTATGGGTTCTTGTGTGTTGTTGTAGATTATTACTAGTGATAAATGATTTTTTACAAACATCACATTTATATGGCTTCTCACCAGTATGAATCATCAAGTGTCTACTTAAATCAGCCAGGCCTCTAAATGATTTACCACAAATATCACATTTATAGTTTCTATTGGAGACAGAATGCTTTGACATTTTTTAATCTTCTCCCTGTAAATACACAAAACAAAATGGTAATTAGGAGATAAACACCGACTGTTTAAAATTTAGAGATCTGATATTGTCCATTTGATACCTCTTTAAATCATTGTTGATGGTCGTTTTCTGGTTTTAATGATGTAATCGGTATTATTATCATCGCATTACATCACAGATGTTTTCATTATGTCAAAATTATTTTCTTTGGTTTTTACATCATTGAGCCTACAATCACGAACGATTTTGTCACCAATAAGATTTCTGCTCATTGGGGAAATTACATTAGTCGTCCATTGTCTACATTGATACAATAGGTAGAACTAAAACCAACATGTTAGCTTGTATCATATCTTGATCATTAAACAATAAAACCAACATGTTAGCTTGTATCATATCTTGATCATTAAGAAATAAAATGGGGCTATGGATACGTTTACTCTGATTTCAAATTCCAACTGTCATAGGTTGATTTACTTGCAAGTCGATGTGTAGACAGGACTTCAGTTTTTCGTACCATCCATACAACTTGACAATGTCCCATTCCAGGTCGTCCATGTGGCCTCACCGACAGGGATGGGTGTGGGGAGACCTACTAAGCAACTTTCTCAACCAACATTAGGTAGCGAACCTGAGATCTACTGGTTAGTGAGTCAGAGTTTTACTTACTGATCCATCATGGCTCCCTCGATCTTAGTCTTAACTAGATTATATAAACATTATAATCTATAGGCCTATCTATATTTAAATATTCTGATACAGGATATACTTCAGAGACTTTAAGCAACCACTTTCTTGTCTTATAATAATAGTTTTATATACAGGAATCAACAACCATTTACCATTAAATATATACAAACAATAATCACATATTCACAAGGTAAATTTTATCTAAGCCTCGTTTCATAATTATCTTTTTCTAAATCTTTCAAGTTTACTTTGACAATAAGAAATTCAAATATTGAGGAAATATTTTAATAAAGTTGTATTACCTTTAGCAGTAAGAAATCCAGCTATAAATTCCCATCAAATCTCTTGAGTTGTTAGCTCGCAGACATCAGGTTCATCCTTTACATCACTACTAGAGGACCAATACTGAACCTGAATAAAGTAAATAATTAATATTAATTGATAATGTTCATCAAGTACCATAAATTATCAACCATAAAACTTATAGAATTTTAAACATACATCCCTATTGCAGGTCTTTCTTTAGGTCTGAAATGTTATATAAACTATTAATTAGATATTTATTAACAAAACAAGACCATAATCAACTCTCGATGGTATGGATACTTGAGATTTCAACTAGATTAGAACGGTTCGCTATTTAAAAATTTAATTAAAAAACGGGAAAGCGAGGCTAAGTCTTTGAATATACCAGAGCCCTGGTTACCACTATGCACACATCTTTTCAAAACTAGAAACAGTGATAACTTAGCTCAGAGTGAAGTAATTTGAATGAAATGTTCAATATTTTCATTTTACATTATCTATTTTTGAGCTATTATAGGAAGAATGGTCAGCTCTATATCTAAATCGTACATAATGTATCTTTAATAAAATAAATAACTATATAGATCTTTCCACAGATTTAATAAAACACAAGCCCTCATATTGTAAAATATATTCTTTTTTTGAAATATGATATACATGTATGTACAACAATTTTCATCTTTCCATAGATTTTATAACATACATGTCAACACACCATATTGTTGTGTATTTCCCCCACTATAATTATCTTTATATTATTATAGGTTCCCCCTGCTATTGTTATCTTTATATTGCTATAGGTTCCCCCTGCTATAGTTATCTTTATATTGTTATAGGTTTCCCCCGCTATAGTTATCTTTATATTGTTATAGGTTTCCCCTGCTATAGTTATCTTTATATTGTTATAAATTATTAATCAGACATTAATTAACTGATGAGCCAAATGTCATGAAGGAAGGTTAGATAAGCGTTATATAAATCAAATCTACCATCGCCAACTCCATCAGAACACTATAAAATATATAAAATCACCTTGTCTGCTAGACAAGCGTCCATTAAACACATAAAATTAACTGGTTTGCGAAACAAGCGACCATTTCCTCAAACCAACCTCAAATGTTAGAAACTTGTCAAAAGATATCAGCTTCTGGGAAGTTACAAAATCACCCAATGAATTCCGATGTTTATAAGTGAATTCCGGTGACTAGTCTACGCGTAAATTATCTATTAAGCTTCTTCGTCTTTAATTGAACATCAAATAATAGATATTAATCATCTACAATGAAGTTATATATCGGTAACGTATACCAAATAAATAAATACGTCTTGTCAGCTGCAATCAGAAATCCGCCATTTTATAAGCATTAGGAAAGTATAAAATATGATGTGGACCGTCTCCTACCCGAGTAACTCATATCTGAAGATTACGGACCATTATTGTTTGTGTGAGTGTACATTATATTTTATAATTTAAATTATTAATATAAATGTTAAACAGAATCTGTAATGTATTTGATAAGAATGATGCTGAAGAGAAATTCTAAATCATAATCGTCACTGCAGCTTATAAACCCCCAACATATGAAATCATCTACTACTATTATAAAATCTGCCTATTGCAGGTCTTTCTTTAGGCCTTAAATGTTATATCTTTTATTAATTAGACATTTATTAACTTGCCAATAACCAACTCTCTATTACATCAGATACTCTTTATTTTCAACAGATTTAGACATGATTGGCAGTTAATAATTTAATTAAGAATAGTAAAATCAATAATTTGTTTACTATTGTAAAAATGATATCAATGTCAATCGAGATTCCTGTATTTTCTAAACAGCCTTAATGTCGCTCAAAATGAAGTTGACTGGAATGTTAAAAGATTCAATAACGAGTTGGCAGTTCTCACTATAATAGTTAAAAACTAGATAATGTAATGGCAATTTGCGGAAAAATTCATTTAAATTGATCCACTATGAACCGATAACTAAGCGACTGAAATTTCCACCTAGCCTCGATCATCATTACTAAAGTCAGTACGATAAACAGCATAGTCTTGATTATCCATTTAATCGTTAAATCGTGAAGGAAAGTTATGCAGTAAATCGGCTCATAATCCTTTAAAGATCGCAGGCTAGCCATCTAGAGTTGATTATGGTCTGGATAGGTTAATTAATGTCTAATTAATAGAGCTATGTCCCTTGGTTACAACTTTCAAACTTGCTTATAAATCACATTTAGAGGGGCATTTTGACATAAAAACGTTACTTTAAAAGCAAATATGTTTGAATTCAATCAAAGTTTGTGCAACTTTTTTCTTTCTTAAAATTGTTTTATTGGAAATTACATTTTTTGCATGATTTTCAGAACATATTTTTATTCCTATTAAAGCAAAGATATTGCCACTATCTTGTTGTTTTTCATATGGCAAATAGGAGTTATGGAATTATGCAAGCACCCTATTGGTATAAGATACCATGGCACAATTTCTAGACCTGGAATTGGAATAATTAAAGCGGTTATTTTTAAACTGGTATAATTAAAGTGGTTATTTTTAAATTGGTATAATTAAAGTGGTTATTCTTAAATTGGTGTAATTAAAGTGGTTATTTTTAAATTGGTATAATTAAAGTGGTTATTTTTAAATTAGTACAATTAAAGTGGTTATTTTTAAATTGATATAATTAAAGTGGTTATTATTAAATTGGTGTAATTAAAGTGGTTATTTTTACATTGTTGTAATTAAAGTGGTTATTTTTATATACCTGAGACACCGGAATAAAACAGGTTTTAATCTGTAAATATTCCACAGGTCAAGCTATTTGGTTTTTATAAAGAAAACTTTGCTATTCTACATAAAGCAAGCAGATTCTTTTTCCCCACAGTTTTTTTTCTATCTGCACTGATCACACCAACAAACATCAACTAGCTGGACTTCCTGTTTTAATTTGTCTTTATTACGACAAAGGGAGAAGATGACCTGCCTTCTCACTACAGCGATTTTAACACCAAGTGACTGTCCACAATATCATATTACAATGTACTGGATGTTAAATTTTTTTATATTTTATATTACGCCTCCATATGTAAGTAAATTACTCAAATCAACCTGTCCATAATATCATATTACAATTTTAAATTTGTAATAAACAACAACAACGTAAAATCTTTCAGAAGTCCATCATCGAGAAAAAACATGGGTCTGGTCAGGTAATCATACTCTTCATTACCTACAACCTTTCAGAACATCCATCGTTAAGAAAAACCATGGGTCTGGCCAGGTAATCATACTCTTTAATTACCTACAACCTTTCAGAACATCCATCGTCAAGAAAAACCCATGGGTCTGACCAGGTAATAAATTAAGAAATCTTTTAGTTTTTATTGATAAAAAAAACTAATTAAACTGCTTTTGAACAGATTTTATTTTTCGTGTTTAATTGAAGAACCATATTTGAAGATACATTAAATTATTATTGGTGCTAAATTAAATCATATTCAAATTTCTTTTATGGAAATAATCCTCTAGTAGAGGGTGTGTAAATAAATAATCTTCTTTATAAATTGTGATCTATCACTAAATGCCACTCAAGGATTATATTCATCATCAGTATGGAGATGAGGCAGTTAAGTGTGTTAGTAAGTCAACTTAGTAAACTAGAAGGTAAAAATGTTCACACATGTAATAACTTAACTTTTCTCATGCGGTGTAGGGACTGTGACATTGTGCCCAAGGGATTTCAGCTTAAACCATGTGTGCACTCTAATGCTGCGAACAGGATACTACACATCGCAAGTAAGCTTCAGGCCCGTGAACAAATACAACACCACAGAAATACCAAACGATTATTTCCCCAGATTTACCAATTACACCAGAAGCTACAGAATCAATTCACAGGAAGATTACCAGTCTCTTCATACCATTATCAGCTCCGCAAATCTTACCAAAGATGAGAAGATTGCCAACAAAAGAAATTTGAACATCTAAAAAAAAGCATAATGACCACCACATTCTAATGAATTTTATCTGGATATCAAAATTTCTATTGACTGTAAATGATTATCACAAACATCAAAACAAAATGGTTTTCTTTTCATGTTGAATACCTGTCTTTATTAGACCTAGTGTCGGTGGAGGGTAGTGTTCATTATCCCAGTCGGTGGAGGGTAGTCTTCATTAGCCTAGTCGGTAGAGAATAGTCTTCATTAGCCCAGTCGGTGCAGAATAGTGTTCATTAGCCTAGTCGGTAGAGGGTAGTGTAGCGTCTTAACATTTATTAGAGACTTTTTAGGGGTTCGTTCCAGCCTAGCACTTCAATCGAAAGAACTAACAAACTCGGGTGTAGATAAAATAAACATCTTTATTTGAATCAATTTATAATTGGGATACATCGCATTAAGGGGAGATAATTTGGGTGAGACGCCAACCCTTTGGATAAATTCCCAGGTATGGAAACAGGAATTAGGTAAATAAATACATTTGCCCTGTCAGGCCGGTGGATATGACGGGATTAAATCGGAGATTTGATGACATAAGGAATTGGTAAGACTTGGCCTTGGGGGAATGGGTGAACCACAACTAGGCCTAGTCTATCTTGGATCAAGCCAGTCAAGGTTAAACCAACCTATGAGTCTTTAAATAGGAGACCAGTTAGAGGTCTATGGATAAATTACCACAGCCAAAGCTAGGATATTAATTCCTTACCCATTTTTGGTGATCCATATCCAATTTAAAATAGCTGGATTACTGCCAATTACGTAAGGAGCTTTCCCGAGTGCACCGAGTGTCCACTGAGGATTTCCTTGTCGTCTGCTTTTATTTATAAGGGGATTCCGATGACGTCAGTTGTCGACCAATCAATGCGAGCGTTACTAACAATGACGACGTTATAGCCTTGACCGCGCCAAAGTGTCATGGCCGCCGGCTGTTTGATGTCGCTTGTTTCGCTAACTGATTTGTGTCAATTCATCGGCCTAACGGGAATGTTATAAATATAATTATGTGAAAAGGACAAGATGGATATCGGGCATTATATTGTGATACATGGTAATGTATGACATTGTTATATAAATGTGTTTCGGGCGTGAACTCTACAAGGGAGCTGGTCTCATTTTTTTTTGACACTCTCAGTCGGAAACGACGTGCGAAAGACTGGAATCGCCTGGACCGTAACATTGCCCCCTTCCTCGGAGAAGTTCGTCCCGAACGCTAAAACGGTTATCCAACACACACTGACTCTGACGTGATTGACTTTGCCAATGTTATCTTCCATGTGATGACTGGAAATAAGGAAAGAACAACTCACTTCTGCAGTGGTAAACGTGGATATTATTGCCACAAGATTAATTTTTATTTTAATACAGGTGAGTGGCTCAATATAATATTATATTATAAACATTAATATTAACATACGGGGTAATAATATTGAGTAAAAATAGTATATACAATTTCATATATGTTAAAGTTTAACATCCTCACTTGAAAATTACATTTAAGTTAATTACAATTTTGAATTAGATATGTTTATATTATTATAATGATAACAAAATTCACAATGATAAGAGCATTAATATTATAATATGGAATTAACATAATTTTATAACAAGATTTTAATAACAGGTATAATACATTAATATTCGCTCATTTTCTCTTTAGTGACTTCTAGTAAGGCATCTAGTTCATAGAATTTCGCTTCCTGGATTATGGCAGCGAGTTTAAGACCTTGGATAGGTAACAAATGTTTAAAAGATATGGGGGAGTTAAAATTTCGAAGGTACTCTAAGATAATGGGGAAATGATCAGGGCTACGGTCTAAAAAATAATAACTATAATAGTTGTCTTGTTTGTAGGGTTGAAAAGGGGAGTCAGGGGTTATCATCTTGGCCAGGATACAGGATGGGTCTTTGCTTAAAATGAAATTGCTTGTGTAAAATAGGGTACCTCCAACATTTAACGCAATACGGTTGTCCTGGGCGGTTTGAAAGGATTTCAGTTTTAAGGTTATTCTGTTCGTAGGGATTGGAGTTCGCTACTGTGGGGGTGTAAGGCAACAGCCCCAGGAATGGCTGGGTTAATTGTATTACTATTATTGTTACAATTATTATTAGATTTCGACACGGATGACAATGATGATGATGAGGATGATGATGACGACGATGACGATATTGAAGATAAAAGTAGATCTTGGATTATGGAAACTGGTGTCTTCGTCTTCTCTGGTGAAATTGGTGATTTCTCTGACAACACTGGTGTTTTTTCTGACGAAATTGTTTTTTTCTGTAAAGGAACAGATGTCTTGTCTGATGCAGCTGATGTCTTCTGTACGGTATCGGGTATCTTCTTTAATGTAATTTTTGGTATTGTAGGAACTGGTAATTTAACTTTAGGATGAATATAATTTTTATTTGACTGAATAGGTGGGGCAGGCGGGTCAATCGATAGTTTCAGGTGCTTCATCCCATTGTATGGTTTTTCTGGTATCGTACGCTTTCGAAACGGGGCTTGTGGATGCTTATCTGTAGGTAAAGATTGTCGTGTAATTATTAATGCCCTTCTCCTTCCACAGAAAGCTTTATATTCATCCTCGTCGTTTTGATTGAAGGTCATGGTTGCTTTATTGATCAGTTTCATCCTGGCAGTTCCAGGACATTTTGGATGTTTTACGTCCGCTCTAGCGGCCAGTCCAAAACAGTGCGTGCACTGATAGCCAAAGTTACTATGACATGAAGTGACGTGCCTCTCCGCATACTGATATTTGGCGAATTCTGCGTTCATACATAGTTTACACCCATACCGTATGTTCTATCAAAAAAAATAAAAATAAAGAGTTGATAATTTATGACATCTTTAACCAATTGGGTATATTATTTCCCGTATACGGTTTCAGATGATTATGGTGGACCACTTTAGGTTGGGTCTTTGGGGATTTTTGTATTTTATAGACTACATTATTAAGACATTTTGTCACCAGGTAGGGTCCCTCCCATGGACACCTTAACTTTGAACCTCCACCTTTGTATTTGTGGTTATAATACCATACAGGACTGCCGGCATTGTATGGATTTAATTGAATAGATCTATCGTGATCAACTTTCATGTTTGCCGTGGCTTGTTTTAAACGCCCTCTAGCAAAACTATGTATTCGTTCTATTTTATTTTGTAAGTCAAAAGCATAGTCTGACTTTATTTTTAAATTTGTAGGTTCCACTGATCCGAGAATGAGATCTACTGGAAGACGGATGTTGCGGCCGAAGACCATTTCACATGGAGAAACGCCCAGTGATTCGTGTTCTGCAGAACGATACGCTGACATGAGTAAGTATATGTGATCATCCCAATCATTTTTATTAATATTTACAAATGCTGACAACATGGCACTTATGGTACGATTGGCCCTCTCAACCATTCCATCGGATTGGGGTCTATAGGGGGTGGTTCGAGTTTTCTCAATATCTAAAATTTTACACATTTCTTGGAACACCTCAGACTCGAAGCTTGGTCCTTGATCGGAATGGATTTGCATGGGGGTACCAAAAATTG